CCTTCACACCATGCTCTCCTTTTCCAGAGAGGACATAAAACAAAGTACATATTAAGCATGCTTCCAGGTGTCTTCCTTTCATGACTATAAAAGTCAGATGAAAATACCCTTATAAAAGGTTCTAGAACGGAACGCTAGACAGGGGATTTACAAAGCAACTTCTACTCCAAACGATAAAAGAGCTGCAATGCCACTTCCCCTCACCAAGCATTCACTGCCCGCCCAGCACCCGGCGGGTGGCTGGGGCGAGGCGTGCCCAGGGGCCTGAACTCCCACAGCTGGAGAGGGAGAGAGGGCGCGGCTGCGTGCTCCAGGAGCTAAAACCCAAAGAGCATTCGTCTCCTCACATCTGCTCGACTCGTCTAAAACAAGGTTCTCCAAATCACTCTAGAACCCAAACCAAAAATCTGGTATCTTTCTAATCTGGGCACTCGAGGCATTTCTGCGGACTCCATGGACTGTTAAACACAGTGAGGACTCCAGCCCTGCAGTGGGAAACCTGGAACTAACAGCATGTTCCCTGGGGCCTCTGTTTGTCTATGTAGCGTGCCTTATGACAATTCAACACACTAAACCTTCGCGTTAAACAGCCAACAAATACACATATCTACTGACTATCTGCATCGTGGTGAGAGTTACATTTGTTTATATACTTAATTTTTTAAAGCTAATTTTTAACATTCTCTGAAAAAGCCAATTCTTTTCTAAACTTGTTCCCCAATTAATTCACTTGAATGCAAGTATCTAAAATGTTATTTATAGTTAGAGTTTGGGGTTTGTTTGTTTTTTCTCCAGTTCTTTAGGCTTTTAATGGTTTTTGGTAATTCAGAGCAATCTGTGTCTTTCCTTTTCATAGCACAATAAAAACCTATTCCTTCGTGGGATACTTGAAAGCCTCATTACAATATTCATGGTATTTTAAATGACTCCTTTTTAGAGGAAGGTCTCTTAAGCATTTCAGGAATTCTATATGCTTGATACCAAATGCAGCTCCATTCCTATATATAATACACTGTGATTTACAGGGAATTGTACAGGATCTCTTTAAGTGTGCTATATTTTCTACCTTCCCTTCATAGCAGAAAATACAAAAGCATTTTCCAATAATATTACATATAAGATGAAAATGAATGTTTAAAACAGCGTTGGAAATCCCAATTTAAATGAAAGAGGTCACACTGATATTCTTTAACAAGATTAGAATGGACAGGGAGCTTCTCTGAGAGCCTGAATAGTGGCTCATTACCCTGGACATCATGCTTCTGTGAGAGGGTCTGTGGTCTGGCGTTTGGGGCATAAGTCTGAGGATCAAAACCTGTATGAACTAAAGCTCTAGAAACACTGTGAACCGTGTATTTTCTGTGCCTTCTTCTTATGTAAAATAGTGGGAAGTACACTGGCCTGTCTCAGAGCATATTATTTCTATAATCTAGTAAAATTATTTAAAGACAGTGAAGCAATATAGGTCAAATTCATGTTCCTAGTAACGAATATTCTCATGCATGCTACTTTTTCAGATGCCAATTCTAACCTGCTTTCATCTACAGGAGTTAGTTTATAATTGTTTTAACTTAATAGCCACATGAAGACAGATTTCGTAAATCTCATTATAATTCTAATTAACTTAACTTTCCAACAAGTGGGTTGCCTTATTTATTTTTGAAATAGTAACAATTCCCCAAATTACTTTCAAAATGTTAATGATAATAAAAATTAAAATGAGCAGTAATAGCTTAGAAATACAACATTTTAAATTAGCATGTAATTGAAACCAAATTTGTGTATATATTTGGAATGGAGGGTCTCAATAGTGCATTTTCTTAAATTAAAATGAACTCATTTGAGATTTCAAACGTTATATTTAATCAAACTGGTTCTTTTATCCCCACACTTAAAAACACTCCACAACAACACTAACTTCAATTGGTATTGTTATATAGTCCTAAAATTTACATTTTTATTTCAAAAGACTCAAACTACATATGTTTGAAGGTATCCGTATTTGGCTTAGCCAATAAAAAATAAAATCACAATGTATTCATAGCCAAAAAACTACAAACGTGTATTTTAATGGATCTACTGCTTTTAAAAGTTATTCCATGTAATAATCAATACAGTTAACATCACTCCCAATAAAATTTCTGTTTTTTTTCTTTTAATGATCCAAATCTATAGTGAAATGATGAAATCGAAAAACAAGTGTTCTTGTCAGAAGACAGGAAGAGGGTTTTTCCCCCTCCCTTAAGGAAAACAAAGGATTCCTGAAAGCTCTGCCCTGATTTATTTTTCCAATTTTAAATACCTTAAGAGTAGCGGAACTGCTACTGGCATGGTAGTATTTCTAACAGTCAATAAATCTAAAATATTATGTGTGAATATTGGAATGAAGCCATTAAGAAGATTACAGCATGCAACACAGCAGAGGGTCCACAGGAAAAAAGACCAGTAATTCAGGACAAGTGTGACCGCTGACCTTTGAACAGCCAAGACCACTGGTCAAGCTGACACAATAATCGAGTACACATGACAGAGAGGCATCTAGGCTGGAAGTATAATTTAAATGCTTTGGGGAATGATTTTAAAAGGCCCTCATTTAAATATCAGTGAATTTATTACATAATCAAACAATACCAGCAGGACTATTTTTCAGGCTTTAAGTGTACTTTATTAATTCAAATCACACACAAAAAATTTAGTAAGAGCATGTGCGATTTTAAGATGCCTCATTTAAAACATTTATAATTATAGAAAGTGTGACTTTGATACTTTATCATATTTCCTACAGAATTATAAGAGATTGCTGTTGGAAAACTGATGATAAAGCTAAATTTGTTAGAGGTGGTTAAACAATCACCTAAAGTATTTTTCAAAATATCACTATAACTTAAAACATCCCATACTTCCTTCCAGTAAACAGTCCAAGCTCTACTCCAGAGCTATTTCAATGTATTCATTCTTCAAATTTTTAAGTCTATGGCCCTTAATTTCAAGCATACATATAAATACTGTATCTATACCACCTTGCAGTGTTCCTTCTTCTGCATACGTTTTACTGTTTCAGTTATGTCTAGTTAACTGTTGCTTATAAGATGGTCCCTCTTTGTCATTTTATATGTAAGCTTTTACATTTTGTGACTATTGTTTAACTGCTTCATATATTTAAATAAATGTTTTAATATCAAACTAATGCTACTAGAAAAGTAATACTTCTTAATTAAAAAAGAATCACCCATCAAAACAATTACCATTAAAGATTTTCTCAAAGAAAGAATGAGCAATCATTAAAGCTGACTATAAAAATTTTAATGACACAAAAAAGCTGATTTCTTTCTCTTTTTTCTTCCTTTCTTTCCTCCTTTTTTTTTTTTTTTTAATAAACAATCTTTTCTCCTTAGGGCATTTAACAGTAGGAAATCCATACACATAAGGAAAATATTCTTAAAAGTTGGGACTTTATTTTCATAATTACTTCTCTATCCAATCAAGGTTACTTTGATGGATTTCTAAATGAATAACTCTAAACATTTCTAGCAGCTTCTGCAAAATTTTTATAATGAGGCGATCCACTTATAATGAACTAAAAAGATAATATAATTCCTCACTGGCCTGGGTTTGGATTTGTTCGTACATAGCATTAATTCTATGATAGTAAGATAAAGTAGTTCAATTTAATTTGCTTCAAGGTCAGCAAGTCTTTTAGGTTATTTATGGGCATATATTTATGCCCTGATTTTGACTTTAAAATCATAGTTTTCCTATCACTGGCCATAAAAACAATCAAAGCTGGTGTTACTGTATTTTTTAAGACTTTTAAGTTCAATTTTTCAAACTCTCTAACAGTGATTTCAAAGTACTTGTACTATTATAGAAAATATATTCTGAAGGTTTTTAAATTCCAAAATTTTAATATCCCTGAAAAAAACATTTAACCGAGTTATTTTAACTTAGAACTGTGTTATAAAGATATTTTTAAACAGCCATTGAAATATATACAGAAACAATACTAGTGTGCATTTTTGTCCAGTTCTAAGGAATCATGAAGGCCAAAAAAATTCAGTTTTGGAGACTATTTAACATGAAATACAGAATATATCCTATTATAAGCTGCAGACACACACATGCACACACACACAAACCCTCTGCAAGATCAAAGACCAGGAGAGAACTGGCACTTAATTTATCAGCCTTTACAGACAAAAGACAGTTTTCGTCATTTCAAAAGGATCAGATGTCTTTTATGACAAACTGGGTTTGCAGTTTAATTTACAAATAGAATTATAAGTAAGCAGTCTTTGCTCTGCCAAAGCAAATGACAAACCATGTAGGTTTTCATTCTCGCGGCCCTCAGCAGGATAGAAAAGATTAAAAATAAAACTGAAATAATTTAGAGAAAACAAATAAATGTTTCAGAAAGTTGAGGGAGATCAAAGCCAGAATTTTCTGACCCCAACTGTACAAGCATTTCTTATTATATTGACCAGTGCCATCAGATCATTAATTAAAAGGAATCGCGCTGGCAGGTGGCAGGGAAGCAAAGCGGATAATTGGGCCCCTTCTTCTTCTTCCTTCAAAAACTCTCATTCTTTTGCAAGACATGCCACTAGGCAGACAGAAATGCCTACTTTGTAATATAATGATTAAGATGAGATGAAGAGACGTACGTTTAAAGAACCTCTGCCTAATGAATGCGCCGAGCTTTTTAATTATGATCCTACTTTTACAATAAGGAGTATGATGTTCCATTCAACGTCTCCTCAACTGCCAAAAGGTAAAAAGATTCCATGCAGATTCTACATTGATTCCTCTCACACCCCCTGCACACACTCAAGCCCTGCATTTCAGATTGTTAAAAAGGGGAAAAAACAACTCTTGGTAATTCAAGGGTCCAGGAGAAAACATATATATACATATATATATATATATATATATATATATATATATATATATATATATATATATATATATATATACGTTCACCACAAAATATCCTTCGGACTTACCACATCACTCGGTAGGTTGTTCAAGTCATTAAATGGTGATTCTAAAGTGTTTGTGTCAACATTTAACATAACCACATCCTCCAATGATTTATTCTTCACTCTCTGTTTAAAAAAGACAATTATAAATAAACATCTTAGTATATTTTCCTTCCAAAATCTTATGAGCTTAGAAATGTAGAGAAAATTATCTTAATACATTAGCCTTGGGGAAAGAAAAAAGGAAAATCTGACATTATGAAAGAATATAAACAAGTTTGCCTTATGAGAAAAATAGTTTGTACACAACCATTCAAAAAGATTGGGTAAAAATGCTTAAAATAGAACATGTGTTCATCTAGACATATCTAGTTTAAAGATATACAATATAATTTAACTACCAAGAGGTAAGTACAACAAAGACTTACAAAACAGGCACAGCTACATAAAACTGTAAAAACTTCTGTCTGTTAAATTTTATCAATTGAATTTCAATCTTACAATACAGGAGCTTGTGTCCAGTTCTATACCTATTTTTAGCATAAATCATATTGCAGGGCTAACATAAGCTGACTGAAGTTTAAATTAATAAACATGTTCTCTATATTTCCATTTCAATTTGGTGCAGGCTTATGATGAGGACTGAAAGCTGAAAAAATGACAGAGAGGGCAGTAATATGGAATTTATTGTTAGTAATATTTATCACCTGAATTTCAATAGAAAAGATCAAATTTAATAGCCTATCAGATTAACTATTTGACTTATTTGTCTTATTTGTTTGACAGCTTAGTCAACTGTTCAAATTATCTCAAGATGTGGACAAATGATAGTGAATTACAATTTCATCAAATATTTCATCCTTAAAGGAAATAGTTACTGTTTATTTTTCTTATTTAAATAATATGTATACCTAAATCATATAATTCAATTAGTCTTATTTAAATAATAGCAAATAGTGTTATTGCTTCATGTAAAAAAGGTGCTCATTAATGAATGTATCTATCAACTCAGGATTCCATAATTGCATAGGTTAACTCGCAATAGGTCAATTAATTTCAGAGACATATTTTTAAAAGTGACATTCTAGAATAATAGCCATTTTTTAGAATTGTTACTTAAACACCTTAAATTTTAAACTGGCCAAACCAATTTTTTTGTTGTTGTTTTAAGTTAGTTGAGACTAAAATTTCTCTGATTCATTTAGCATTTCAAATCTCTGCATATTAGGTAGAATTTTAAATTTGCTAGAAAAATGATAGTCTTTAGTAGGAAATTTTTATGTGTTAAGAAATTTATAATGTTTATGTAGAATATGGATTCTCAGGGGCACAGATGATTCCAAAAATATGTCTTTTAAAAGACATTATAATTCTAAAGTAAGACTCAGAACATGGCCGTTTCTAAGAAATTAACAGAGTCATTTATAATAGTGATGGTATTGCAAAAACATTTATACATAAATTCATTTCACTTCCTTTCCACATGTATACATATATAAACATGGTTTACATGCATAAACACATGGTTATCTAGAAATGACAGTATATTGACAAAAACAACATACTTTATAAGCAAAATCTATTTATACTAATGGCATTTGTATGGAAAAACTATGTCATAATTTTGATTTCCGTCTTTAATTCTAAGTTTCCTTTTAACAGAAAATGTAAAGTTAATCCAGAAACCTGACGTATTTTTTTAAGGGATGAAATGAGTTCACCTAAATAGCTTAGAATAATGGCTATGTGACCAAAAGGTTTTGCAAAATCTTTGGACACTAACAAAAACTCTGAATAAAGGAAATCAGTATTAATATGAAATGTATACTTTTTCAAAGTTGCTCTTAGTTTTGAAAGGTCTGATATAGCTGAAGATTGAATTTTGTTCAAGGAACCACTCAGGAATGGAAAAGGTATTCATTTCAATAAATCAATACACTGAGACCACCAGAATGTGAACAATTTTATATTTGAAAAAAAGAAAAAAAATACTATGTAATTTAAATCTTTTTTTTTTCATTTGGATTAATGTCAGTATTTTATCTAAGTTTTCCATCCAAACCTGGCTCTAGCTATTTTTTTTTTCTAAACAGAAGTGGAAAGTCACATGGCATAAAATGGTTTCTCTCTCTCTCTCTCTCTCTCTCTCTCTATCATATTTTTATATCATAAAATTCATAAACTTGATTAGATGAGGAAAGAGCAAGAAAATGTGAAAAGAGAATTTGCCTTTTTCTTTGAAAATAAGAAAAGGGTACTGGGACAGTCTTATTAAGCACAGCAGGAAGGTGGGAGAGGTGGCCCTTCCCACATCCTCTGCCTAGAGGCCTTCCTGCAGTGGGGGCTACAAATGCGCCTCGCGCACATTAATGTGAGGAAGCTGCATGTGGCGGCAGTCACGTGATGCTATGGAACTGGGTCAATATTTTATTTAGAATCTATTGTATATTAAACAATTAACATGACCCTCACATTTGTAGCCCCTACTAATTTATTCCTAATTGAGTAAAGGCCATAGTCAGCTCTGAGTTCATCCCTCAAGTCTGGTTTTCAGGGAGAACAAAATGCCCCATCCTTACTATAGAAGCAAATTTACATTTTCAAAAGAGATTTCTAACCACCTTTTACTCATGATTACATAGAAATAATTAAAAGAAAAATTTAGAAGAAGGTTAATTTCATGTCTGCGAATAATGTTTAGAAGTCTTAGTAAACTGATAAAATGTTGAAACTCTCTTCACTGAGAGAAATTGAAGAATATTTTGATTCTTCCTGAAAAAAAAAAACTTAGTTGTAATTGTAGCCAAACAAAATGTACACAATTCCTCAGTTCAGTCTCACATATAAAAATATGTAAATAGCTATATCTACATTGTGATGATAATGCCATTTATATAAAATTAAACAACACAAAACATCAGGATTTTAATGTAAAAAATGTCTGACATGACACACTCGTAATATGAATGGAATCGCAGGATGTTTATCATCTTATAATAGATTAAGGAGAAAGTTACTAAATGGTACCCAGCTAGTTGAAAGACATTCCTGAAGTTCCTAGTATACTTCCTCATTCACTATTAAACCAAATAATGCTAACTATTAGGACAGTTTGGTTAGCCCTGAGTATATAAGGCACAGATTTCAGCCAGTCTAATCATGGCGCCAAATATTCTCATTCAATGACAGGAGCCAATTTAAGGTTAGAATGGACTATTTCTCCTAGACATAAGACTCCTTACTTTAAGAAGCAAATAATTCTTAAATTTGTTCCTTAAAAACAAGCACTGATTTTTTTCTATAGGTGTCAAATAAATATGTGATCAATTGACTATTTAAAACATATACCCCTTCTCATAATATTTTGGAAAAGCTGAATCATTGGTTTCAAAAGTTGATATAGAATCATTACAGAAAAATATAATATAACAACAGGTACAATCAACAACTTTAAATATTTTCCATTTGTATAAATAAATACATTGCAAAATTTACATATTCTGTTAGATACATTAAATAAGGAAAGACATGTACACTAATATCAAAATCAAATTTGATGACTTTTTTGAAACCATTTCAACCAACGATGGTTAGATTTCGCACAAAGTCAAACTACTGATGACTAAATTACCAGTCACATATTCTACAATCTAATAACAGATTAAATACCTCTTTGTTCATGTTATATTTTATGCAATTTGTCCTTTCACTGTAAGTACCTTGGCATGTAAGAACAAGTTTTCTAAAAACTAACAAAATATAAAGAGTCACAACGGTATCCAACCCAAACTTCAACATTAAAACCAAACTAAACCTCCTAAAGAAACTCACTGAAATGTATTCTTTCTTAAAGGTTAAACAAATAAAAATGTTGCCCCAGCATTTTGCAAAAAGAAAAAAAAATGACCGAATCCAGAGCACATGTAGACGTCCGTAAGTCAGGATTCCTAGAGGACCATGGCTCTCCATAAGGGATCCTCGGTGTGAAAATTATCAGCAGGATCGCCCGTGATCAACAAAGCGAGGACTGATGGCGGATACAGTGACAGCAACTGATAAGAAAACCAAATCTAACTCACTTAGGTTGCTCGTTAGAAAGTGAGTCAAAGTACAAAATGCACCACTAGCAAAAAAAAAAAAAAGAAATGTACTTGAATAAAACTGAAATCAGCCAGCATAATGATGCCAAACGACAGACCTATCTCTTTTGTTTTGATCCAAGTCTTTTGTTTATTTTATTAGATGTGAACCTTATAAGAAGTCCTCTTCAGAAATCTCACTGATTTCAAATTCAAGATGTTGAAAGTTCAAGGCTTGTTGCTATAGTGATGACTCCAGTGACAAAAAACATTTTGGAATGAGGTGACAGTGCAAAAAAAAAAAATCACTATATTTTAAGTCCCTAAATAGGACTGAAAAAATTACAAAAACATTTAAAGCTATCTTTAATTTAAAATTTCACAATTAGTGTATTAAAACTATATTTTAAAAAGGCATATTAATAAACTGGATGATAGTAAGTTTGTAAAATAAGAACATTTTCCCTCTATGACTCATAATTCCATAAATTCTAACTTTCAAAACACAGGTCTGAAAAAGACATCGATATGAAAGATCCCCAGTACCACAAAGAAAGTGGTTCGTCAAGGACTCAAGTTTTTAGTCTTTAAAACTTACCACGTGACTTCTACCAAATGTAACCTATTTTAATAGGTTTCAAGCTATTGAAGATGGTCACTCAGTATATGAATTGAAATGAAATTATTTCCATATTACCCTTTGGAAAATTATCATGTAAGTATAATATGAAACTAGTCACTGTTTTCTACTAGTCAATTGATATTCTTTCAAAGTACAACTGTTTTAACTATCAGTTTTATGAATTAATTTATCACTGTCTCATGTCTGACAGATACTCACCTCTATGAGGCTGGAGTGTACTCCAATCAGGTATGGCATTGGGGCACTAAATTAAAAAATATATATTCATATAGTTCATTAGAACTGAAACAACATAAGCAATTCAGTATGCTTTACAAATTAAATGTATTAAATGCACAGTTCTAACAGCATATAATAGATATTTTAAAGTATTCTACATATAAAATTCAAAGTTAATCATAGAAGCCATTAATAGATTCTAATTAAGGTTGATTTATATAAAAACCACAAAGTCATTTCTAATTAAAACAAGAGATGTAATGCCTAAAACAACTTTTTTTATTTTTAAAAATCTGAGAGTTTAGGCCATAACCTGAGTTGAATCTTTCCACCATACTTCATATCAAATATATCCTAAATCATCATCAACTTTATTTACATTTCTTTTGCGTACCTTTTATTATTCAATTAGACTTTTATTTCTATGATTTTCTTAACATGTCATCATTTCATACCTGCTATGTCACCCAAATTTTTTGAGTCAGTCAGGACCAAACCTTCCTTGAGACCCACTGTGTGCTGGGCACTGTCTGGGAACTAGAAGTACAAAGATAAACAAATCCCTCCCCTACTGTTCTAATTTTGCTTCTGTGCTATCTTTCTGCTTATGTGCCTTGCCTTTTACTTCAAATATATACACTCATATTTATCCCACTTCCATTTTTGCTAAGAAAATTTTTTTATAAATTAAAAAATATTCACACAAGTTTAAGGATGATATGAAATTAACTAAGTCAACACAAAATATCTAGGACACACCAGGTGCCAAGACTTGGTCCAGAGTGTTGGGTATGAGAATAAACAATATAGACAATATACGTAATGTGGATTAGACTCTGGCAGAAAATACAGACATTAAATAACTTCCGTAACATAAAGTCAGACTCACTAGTAACTACAAAAATATTTCTCATTAAATCCAAGAAGGAAATTACTCAACTTAAAATTTCAAAATTAATACACCATTTAACAAGAAAACATGACAATGGACAGATGTCTACAAAGGTGATAGAAGATCTGCAAATAGTTTTTTAAAAATAAAACATTTTTGACATTTCTTTTGTAAACATCTTGGTGTTCTATTTAATGCAAACCTTTTCCGTTAATGAAAACAGATCATCTTCTTTCTCAAAGGATTTGCATAATTTTCCAAACATCTCTGTCATTATTGGGACAGGGCTGTCCAAACTCCTGTGACTCCACTTGGCTACTGAGAACCAGCAATGGCTGAAACTTAACAGGCACCTCGACAGATCCAGTTTTCAAAGCAACCTCAAACACTTCCAGATATGTAAGGATGGCTTTAACTTAAACATCCGAATTCACACACACACACAAAAACAACAGTGGGAGTTCTTCAGTTACTTCCCATTAGCCTGTCCATTTCCTCTTATAGTTCTAGATTCTAATTCTCAGTTGCCTGCCTTTGTAGCTTCGTGTCTTCCCTTTTTTTTTTTAATGCAACAGACCATCTCAAATTGATCTAATATTCCAGATACTTCATTTGACTGGAGGTTGAGGACTATTTATAGGCCTTGCTATCCTTAAGACCTAACAGATTTCCTGCCTTGGAAAGGAAGCAGGAGGAATAGATGGGCGCTGTTCCACTTTTGCTTAAATAAGGGAAGTCTGGTCGCTTCCCTTGTTCAAGTTCTCATCTCTGGAATCCTTTCTGGGATTCAGCAGAAGACATAAAATACATGTCACTAACTATTCTGGGCTCTCACAACCGGGTTCAAGCAACTTTCACAAAACAAGGTAGGTGACTCCCAAGATCTGATATGTCAAGCCCTCCCCACAGGGAAAATGGTATAAAATTATTAAAGTTACTGTGTCAACTTCCAGTTTGCCCCAGGTGAGGTTACCCTACACAGAAGATTTATAATAGAGAGAGCCCATGCTATCTCAAATTTCAAAGTGCATGTTAATAAAATGAGTGCTAATCAAAATAGTTTAAGCCTTCTAAAAATAATAATTATTACGTCCATTTTACAGGTGTTGGGGGACACTCAGTGCATCAGAACCAAAAGCCAGCAGTCCGATGGAATACATCTAAGATAACACTTCATGAAAGCTAGTTATCTCTTGAAATATAAATAAATTTATAGAAATTATTAAACTAGAATAAAAATTCAATGATGAGTTCCCATGCCTGGACCTAATGACAAAGACACTGAAACTTTTTCTGTGGGATCACTGGGTATTTCTACGTGTTTTTATCTCACTAATTTCTAACAAAATCCCAAACATACAGATGTTAGAACGGCAAACATTATTAATCTAGAGTATAATTTCCTAAAATAATTATGTTTTGCAGAATATTGATCTAATTAAGTAGTTGTTTCTTTCTCATGAAAACTGGATTGTGTACACCCTAATATTAAATCAGCCAAATCTCAGGAAAAGTAATTTTGCAAAGCTAGCTGAAATCTCCTAATTAGATCAGGGCGTTAATAAGTCAGGAAGAGATTCTTGGCGACA